AATCCTGGAAGTTTGTGCGGGTATTTGTGCATTAAATTGTCACTAAAGTTCACAAACATTTTTATTTTGCGTGAAAATTCTCCTTGTTAATTTTAAGCACTTTACAACAAAACAAGCCAAATTTCCAGGTATTCCAGGACTTGAATTTCTTATAGCCAAATTCAAGCACTTTAAGCACCTTGTGCGAACCCTGTTGGATGTATCAATACAACGTTAGTCCATTTTACAGTAATAAGACAAATTTTCTATTGGTTTCCACTCTCATGTTATAGGCCTAGTGCTATTTTTTTTTTTACAATTTTTAACCTATTTTTAACCTTACTAACGTTAAACCTCACTGAAATGTTATTGAACGCTTTCATTAATCTTTATCCTATAATACATAAGCCGTATTGAGTAATTATTAGAAATTTGTAATAACTGTAATGCTAACGTTAATTTAAGCAGTATGTTGGAGTGATAACATTAAGTAAACATGCGATCAAAAGAGGAAAATACTATTTAACTCGACGCATTTCTTAATTAAGTTAATAACTAATCACTCAGTGAGTCCCAACGTTGACATATGATGATAAATATTTAAGTAAAATTACTTCAAATGACAAATTATCACTTACCTGAAGCAACTGACGAGGAGAAGGTTTCGCGTGTTTTCCAAATGCAATCCCAAAGTCAGTTAGAAGTTGATTTTTACTGATGTCAGCCATAGCTGAGCCTTACTAGGCTCTTGTGTGTTTTTTTGTTAACTGGCCCACATACTGCAAAAGGAGTTGTGAACCAGAAGAACATTCCCGCCTTTTCTGAACATATGGCAAAACATATATGGCAATAATCTGGCCCATATCTGTTCAGCCATGCCATACCTCAGCCACATGTGCCAGCCACAGCCACATGTGCCAGCTATAAGCCCCTTATCCCTTTCAACCCTAGCAACGCCCCTGGTTTCAGGTACAGTCTAAGAAAGCTAGCATGCATATTAATGAAGTTGCAGCGGATACATAATAGAGCGCACTGATTGGTTTGAACTAAGCAATACTCATGAATCAATGCAACACACTCAGAGACGTAATACGGGACTCCCAGGTACAGACGTCCAGTCTACACGCTGGAATACACGCTAAAACGTTTTAGTGAAATATATGTGTCCTAATAGTTTTTTTTAGAAGTGAGGGACACATATTCGACTGTCAACAGCTCAAAAAAATGTGTTTTGGTGTGTCGTGACTCTTTAAAGTTAGACAAAACTGATGTATTACTTATTAGGCCAAAATCTTACCCTACCCAAAACAAACTTAAAAATTATAATTCATTTTAAAGAGCCCATATTATACATGAAATAGGGTCATATCTTGGTTGTAAGGGTCTCCAACAACAGTCTAATATGCATGCAAGGTCAAAAAACACTTTCATGGTCTTATAATCTGCATTTATTTTTACCTAATTATCCCAGCGACTCCTGTATGAATCGTCCAGTGATTCATTTTTTCCCAAACCCCTCCTTAGTGCGAAGCTAATCTGCGCTGATTGGACCGATGACAGTCTGTCGCGATTGGTCGACTGCCTTCAGTCAGAGAGTGAAATGCCCAATAGCTAATCAGCAATATAAAAGTAATCACAGTTCATACACGCTCGATAGTTTAGGCGTGGATTTTAGCTGCCACACACACACACACCTCCGGACGACAACGCTCCCGCTTCTGCCCGCACCCGCCAGGTTTTAGCCTGAACCTGACCGCTCCCGCTTATATTTAGAATTTCTTGTCCCGGTGCCCGACCCGCCCCGTTTTCTGCCCGCCGCGCCCGATCCCGCTAAAGAGCGGGAGAGAACATAACCGAAAATCACCCAGCTAAACAGTCCAGACAGCCAGACAAAGCTCTATCTCTCTCTCTCTCTCATACGCGCGCATACACATACACACAAGCACCAAGCAAAGACACAGGCAAAGCTCTCTCTCTGTCTCATTCGCATAGCAATATCCACGATATTGCTAGACAGCCCGCTCCCGTCCCAAATTTAACCCGTTACCGACCGCTCCCGCGATTTATTCGGAAATTTATTCCCGGGGCTGTCCCCACGCCAGATGCAGACTTCTACCACGGAGCTCCGTAAACAAAGCAGCACGCGTCGCGTTTTTTAACGTGACTTTGCATGCGATAAGAGAATATAGCCAGTTAACCTGATACAGTACACTCGGTTACAAGTAACAAATCACAACTAAATACATTTGCAAGTTAGAGTAAACGAGGCAACAACTTTAATCGCACGTACTTACACTTGAGAAATGGAGGAAGAGACCCATCCTGACATGTCCATCAGTAAGTTAACTTACTTTTTACTGATCCTTCCTTTAACAAACGCAGATGAAGTATTCTTTGTAGCATGTAGTTTCCAGTAGTTTCCAACTGCTTGGTTATAATGCTGAGGTTTCATCTCTGGGTAGAGAATCAATAATATCCATCTGCAGTGTGACTTCAATCGACCGGCATGTTTGTGTGCGTGTGTTTGTGGGTGTGTGTGTGTGTGTGTGTGTGTCTGGGTTTCTGCGTCAGAGGGCGGGGCCTCAGGCTTGAAATCTCCCGGGTTTGCGCGTGCACGTGAATAACTTGGTTTCGTTCGTACGTCATGGCGAAACACCTAATGACTCTGTATCAAGGCGACTCGTTTGAAGCACTATGAGTCGACTCTTTTATAGATGAATCAACCGTTTTAAACACTGTATTCTTACAGATTTAAGCCTTAGCTGGATACTTCACTTCACTTAGAGCTGTGTTACACACTACATGGAGGGGAATTTTCAAAAACCCATAATATGGGCTCTTTAATGTTTTCTTTGAATGAGAGAACAGAATAAATTTCACATAATTGGGAAGTAAATATTCTAGCCTACAAGACTGGTTACTTAAAGAGCCCATATTATACATGAAATAGGGTCATATTTTGATTGTAACTGTCTCCAACAACCGTTTAATATGCATGCAAGGTCAAAAAACACTTTCATAGTCTTATAATCTGCATTTATTTTTACCTAATTATGCCAGCGACTCCCGTATGAATCGCCCAGTGATTCATTTGTTCCCAAACCCCTCCTTAGCGTGAAGCTAATCTGCGCTGATTGGACTGATGACAGTCTGTTGCGATTGGTCTACTGCCTTCAGTGAGCGACAGAGTGAAATACTCAACAATACTAATCCGCAATAAAAAAAGTAATCACAGTGCATACGCCCTCGATAGTGTAGGCGTGGATTTTAGCTACCTGTGGGTCAATGTAAATACAGACAATGGACTTGAAATTACCGACGACTAACTATTTTATTGAGCAAAAACTCCAAAAACTGTTGAGGAGATCTTCTAGCTTGTCTCACTCTGCTCTTTTTACAGACACACACACACACACACACACATATTGCCCTCGTCCTTGCGCGCGCTCACACACACACACACTACCCTCCTCCACAGAGCTCCGAAAACAAAGCAGCACGCGTCGCGTTTTTAACGTGGCTTTGCACGTGATATGAGAATATAGCGAGTTAACCTCATTCAGTACACGCGGTTACAAGTAACAAATCACAACTAAATACATTTGCAAGCTTGAGTAAACGAGGCAACAACCTTAATCGCACGTACTTACACGAGAAATGGAGGAAGAAACCCATCCTGACATGTCCATGAGTAAGTTACTCTTTACTGATCCTTCCTTTAACAAATGCCGATGAAGTATTCTTTGTAGCATGTAGATTCCAGAAGTTTCCAGTAGTTTCCAACTGTTCAAAGCTTGGCTATAATGCTGAGGTTTCATCTTTGGGTAATGACTCAATAATATCCATCTACAGTGTGACTTCAATCGACCGGCATGTTTGTGTGTGTGTGTCTGGGTTTCTGTGTTAGAGGGCGGGGCCGCAGGTTTGAAATCTCCCAGGTTTGCGTGTGCACGTGAATAACTTGGTTTCGTTAGTACGTCATGGCGAAACACCTAATAACTCGTTATCAAGGTGACTCGTTTGAAGCACTATGAGTCGATTCTTTTATAGCTGAATCAACAGTTTTAAACACTGTACACTAACAGATTTAAGCCTTAGCTGGATACTTTACTTCACTTAGAGCTGTGTTACACACTACATGGAAGAGCATTTTCAAAAACCCTTTAAAAGTCTTGTTCGGGCAAATTCAGTGCGTTTTTGGACCCTATTTCTTTTTTTTCTTCAAAACTTACTAACCGATTGTAATGAGACTATGTCTGGGCACTACAAGTCCCAGCAGGCTTAGCGCCATGCAAGGAAGTGTTGTTGTTTATGTGCGGACACTTTATTTACTGTTTGTGGCGTAAATTAACAACAGGTTGTAGATTGCTCAGCGCTATATAAGTGATTCATAAAGTTTGTTTGCCATTTTGCTGTCGTTGTTGCATTCTGGTCGCGGCACGTAAAGGCCGGTAGGTAGTAAGTTTATTTGTGTGATGTGCGGTCTCTCTCTCTTTCTCGCGGAGTTTCCTTTTTTTTTTAACGCATGCATAAACTGACATATATAGAGTCAACACTTCACGTGAGGGTTAGCTGATGAGCAAACAACATTTAATGCTGCCAGATCTTCATTGCGAACTTATTTAAAGAGTTAGTCGTTATATAATTTTAATAAACCGTTTTTAGTATTGTGTTTTAATGATATTATCCTTTTTATTTCTAGTGTTATTACGGAATCATTAGCCCCTTTCACACATACAGACCTTTCCGGAAAATTGCCGGCAATTTTCCGAAAAGGTTGTTTGTGTGAACAGGTCCTTTTTGAAAATACCGGTAAATTCGTTCTGGCTATTTTCCGGAAAGAGAAGTTGTAACATTACCGGCAATTTGCCGGTATTTTGGAATGGATGTGTGAATGCTCTTTTCCGGAAAATTTCCGTAACGTCCTCGACTGTGTGAACAGCGCTTTTTTGAATATACCGGTAAAGTCGTTCCGGAAATTTTCCAGATATTTACCGGTATCACTGTGTGAAAGGGCTATAGTCTGCTGATTGTTGCCTGAGTGTCAGCATGGGAAATTAAGGATCTTAGAGGTATTGTTCAAAACAAAAGAAGGGTTTTTATCTCTATCTTAATGCGTGTTTTATTTATAGGATGTTTTATTCTGTTTGTGACTTTTATATTCTGAGTTTCTGTGTTGTAATAAACTGTGTTTCCCCTTTTTAGGGATGCACGGTTGCCGTTTACTTTAGACTTACAATAATGTTTTTGTTATTGAATCTTTTTTGTTGACTTTTGTTGTATGCGAATTTAGGTTGTTTATTATGTTGCTAGGTTGACAACAATTTGTATTTGTATTTTCCTTTGTTAAACTTTTCTTTCTTTTGTAGGTTCTGTTTTGGATTTGCTTTACCATCAGTGGCCACTGGGTTCCCTGCACTGTGTGGATGGCGGTGGAGAAAAGGTAATTGGGATTGTGTGGTGATTTGGTCACTGTTGATTTTTGTGTTTTTTAGGTTGCAGTGTGATTGCTGTGAGCTGAGTGTGGTGAAAACACTGCTGCTTGGGTACCTCATCTGTCCTCACTTTCTGGTTAACCGGTGGCCATTAGTGGTTTGTTTTTTTTCTTTTCTTTTATTTAGTTTATTTACTTTTTCTTCCTTGTTTGCAATAGAGATGGAGACAATTTGTATACTACAACTTGTGAAATAAAATATCATTGTTCTCCTAATTGTAAGTCACTTCATTTACCCTCTGCTAAATCATTAACACTGACAAAAGTCATCTGGTCACACATGCATAATATTTTTTCCTAAAAAACACAAATCATATACATTAATCTGTCTCACATATTAATGTAGCACATTTTGTGCTGAATACAAAAAAAATGTTGGCCAGTACTATTTAATAAGTAGCTGAAATAAGCACAAATGTCAGGGCATGTCAAAACACGTCAGGGGCCACAAAATCATCTCAGACCCCTGAGGGTTAACATATCCTCACAGCTATTTTTTGTTCCTTAAATTACAGAGAGGCATTAATTTACCTGCGTTGTCCCCCACAATCTAAAGAAATGTGGTATAAGTTAATTAAATAAGCTAAATTGGCAGTAGGGTATGTGTGTGCATAAAACATGCTGATAAGTTGCAGCTCATGCCGCTATGGTGACCCTAGGTTAATATAGGGACTAAGCCGAAAAAAGACTGGATTTAGACGAGCATGTTTTTTTTTTTTTTTGAAGAAGAAGAAGAAGAAGAAGAATTGAAATATTACACAAAGTATTACTACAAATTCAAAAACAAACTATATCCAAGACCATTACAATAAGTGCAAAAAACAACAACCAGGAATAATAATAAAACAAAAACTTAACAAGTGAAAATAAATAAAATATAACATAGTACTTAAAAAAGAGGACACAATCATCGACTACAGCGAGGGATTAGTACCAGAAAAACTCCTCCATGAAATCTAATGTCAAATCATTTTTATTATTATTATTTGGCATTAGGGTCTTTTTTTTTTTACATTTTGGCATACACTTCACAAATGTCTATTACCGTTTGGGAGGAGAACTTTAGTGTGCCAGTGATTCAGGCAATCATCACACAAGCAGCCAATTGTTCTCTTCCTGATGGCTGCATTTGATTGGCTGTGTTTTGGGGGTGGGACAGAGCTGTTAGCCAATAGAGTTGCTGTCAAATTGTGTAGTTCTGAACTCTCTCATAAAGATCATTTACACATTGTTGCACTATATCAACGACAATCACTCAAAACCAAGTCATATAGTCTAAACAGCATAGCAATCTGTGAAGGGTTAAAGTCATGTAGTGTGAACTAGGCTTAAGTTAACCAGTGTTTATACTTTAATATCTGTCCCAACATGAAGCCTAACATGTATATCTTTACATGAGCTTAATAATAACGCATAAAAAAAGTAATTTCATTATTTCTATTACTATTATTACTGTTTTAAGTAATCATTCTTTATCTTTATGTACCTTTTTGAATGTTCTGGCGCACTTGGCCAAAGCCCTGGACATACTACAATCTGATAAAATGGCTTACAAAGGAGTGCTGGTGCCAACATTCTCGATTCTTCTCAATAGAATGGAGCAGATGAAACAGGAGACAAGCCTGCAACATTGCAACCCACTGGTAGATGCCATCATCAATGGGGTAAAAAAGAGATTTGGTTGCTTATTCCAAGATGCAAGGATGCTCAAAGCCTCTGCAGTGCATCCTCGGTTCAGACTTGCATACATCCCCAGTAAGAAAAAAAAAAGGTTGTGTCGAGGCTAAAAGAAGAGGTCAACCTGCTTCTGTCTGAATATACAGACAGTCATGTGCAGACAGATGATGAGGACCCAATAGATAATGATGAAATAACTATTTCCTATCATCACACATAACAACAGCAATGCTGAATGAAGTGGACAGCTTTTTGCAATCGAATGAAACCAACCTTGTCAATGAAATGATAAAAACTGTGAACAATGAAGAAGATCTTCCTAAAATACAACACAGGAGTCCCTGCTAGTGCAGCGTGTGAACGCCTCTTTAGTGTAGGAAAAGACATTTTCTGACCAAAGAGAAACCGTCTTACCGATGAAAATTTTGTATAACTTCTGTTATGTCGTGCAAATAAACACGTGATGTTAGAAATACATCCAGCCTGGCCATCTCTTGATATGTTGTGACAGAAACATGTTTCCATTGTAATGAATCACTGACATTGTCATCCATAGGCTGCATGCCACAACAGGAACCTTTTTTTCTCATGGAACCAAGATATGGATATGTAAGGGAATGATGGGTGTACACCTGAAGCAACGACCCAGTCACGCCACTTCAGTGTGAGAGGCGGGGACAATCAACCCCTCCTCCAGCAAGAAGCAGGACTGCGAGAGGTAGAGGGTAGACGATTCACAATCAACAGGCCTTCTGTTAATAGGCTGTTTAATCACCAGTGCCCATTGTTCCCCTCGACTCTCTGTCTGTAGAACAAAGGTGCAAACTACCTGGGCCATTAAAGCCACCAAATCAGTTCCAGCTAATCCTGGAAACAAAGTGAGCCAGTACAAGCAGAAACTGCAGTTACATATGTTGGCTCTAAACCACTAAAAATAGAAAAGAACTGGAAGGAAAACATACCAAGACGATATATAATCATCCAGGAAACTATTATTAATAATAATCAACAGGATCCCACCAATTGATGAGGGAAAACACAGAGGAGTGTTACCTTAAACAACTCCCTTTATTCTTGTACTCTATGAGTTCAGGACATTGTCATAAGAACTTTGGAATGGATGTGGAAAAGAAATAAACCATTTCTAAGGTCCTAAAACTCTGTTTTGTTTAACTGTGTTCTTTGGGAGAAAACAACAAGCTTCGCAAAATTGAAAGGTGGGACATGATGGGTGTACACCTGAAGCAACGACCCAGTCACGCCACTTCAGTGTGAGAGGCAGGGACAATCAACCCCTCCTCCAGCAAGAAGGAATATAGCCTTCTCCTACAGACACACCCGGGTTCTGAGTTCCTACCTGACAAGGAAGAGACAACAGCACAGCCAGAATTTATTATTGCAAGTAAACTTGATCAGCAAGATTCTTCTCTCCTGCTACAATAATCTGCTACAATGGAATTAATTTCCATCATCTCACCTGTATTCCTTTGGCTAACCCAATGATCTTCAGGATCACTGAACTACAGGTTAAGTTATCAAGATGGCGCCGAGCATGGCTGCCGTGTTGCGAGCTCTTAGCAAACTTTGTTGTGTTTTCTGTGTTTTACTTGTATTTTTGTTGTTTTTCATGCCGGATGTACACACTCTCATTCCCTATGACAGACACACACTTCGGGAAATTGGCTCCCTCGTTGTACATCAAAGACCTAACTTTGAGTTCTTTAGCGACACTCACAAAAAACACAGCAGCAGTGTGGACTCTTACACTGCGCGGTTAGAACGAAAGAACTCACAGGGAAATGCAAAGGAGGAGGTGTGTGTTTCTTTATTAACAACTCATGGTGTGATGAGAGGAACATACACCTAGTTAGATAATTTTGGTCTCCTAATCTGGAATATCTTATGCTTTGGTGTCGGCCATACTGGCTACCAAGGGAGTTCACAGCTGCTATCATTACGGCTGTGTACATACCCCCTTAAGCCAACACAGAGCAGGCGCTCAGGGAACTGTATGGAAGCATAAGCGAGCAGGAAACCGCACACCCGGAGGCAGCGTTTATTGTTACAGGGGTTTTTATACAATGCCAATCTTAGGAAAATCGCTCTAAAATACTATCAAAACATCGTGGGGATCACATTCTGGAGCATTGCTACTCTCAGTTCCGGGACGCATACAAATCCCTCCCCCACCCACCGTTTGTCAAATCCGTTCACTCTTCGGTTCAACTCTTGCCTGCTTACAGGCAGAAACTGAAACAGGAACCACCCACCCTCAGGGCGTTGCAGAGCTGGACGGACCAATCGGATTCCAAACTTCAAGACTGTTTTGATCACGTGAACTGGGACATGTTCTGGGCAGCGTGTGACAACGACATTGATGTATACGCAGACACAGTCACGTGTTTCATCAGGAAATGCATAGAAGACGTGGTTCCAACAAAAACTGTCCACATCTACCCCAACCAAAAACCATGGATCAATGGTGAAGTTTGAACAGTGCGAGCTTCTGCCTATAAATCCAGAAATGTTGAGGAACAAAAACAAGCAAACCTCAGAAAAACCATCAAAGTAGCAAAACGTCAATACAGAGACAAGGTAGAGGGTCAATTTAACACCAACAACGCAAGGAGCATTTGGCAAGGACTTAATTACAGCACAGACTTTAAAAGTTACAAATCTGCCACTGTAAACATTACTACATCTCTCAGATGTAGATGGCATACCTGTATGTGTACTTAAAGCATGCGCACACCAGCTTGCGGGAGTTTTCACAGACGTCTTTAACCTCTTGCTCTCTTGGTCTGTGGTTCCCACATGATTTAAGACAGCTACTATTGTGCCCATACCGAAATCAGCTAAAACGACATGCTTAAATGACTGGCGTCCAGTTGCTTTGACACCCATCTTCAGCAATTGCTTTGAGAAGCTGATTTAAAACCACATCTGCTCTGCACTGCCCGCTCACACTGACCCTCTGCAATTTGAATACAGTAATAATCGCTCCACTGATGATGCAATTGCTTTCACCTTGCACACTGCTCTGTCTCACCTGGAAAACAAAAACACATATGTGAAAATGCTGTTTGTGAACTACAGCTCAGCATTCAACACCATAGTGCCTGCCAAGCTGGTGGCGAAGCTCCAGGATCTGGGTCTGAACAGCTCTCTGTGCAACAGGATCCCTGTCAGGAAGACACCAAGTGGTCAGAATGAACAACATCACCTTGTCCTCACTGATCCTCAACACTGGTGCTCCACAGGGCTGTGTTCTCAGCCCACTCCTTTACTCCCTGTACACACATGACTTCACAGTCAAACACAGCTCCAACGTCATCGTTAAATTTGCTGATGACACAACAGTGGTGGGCCTAATCACAGATAATGAAGAGACGGCCTACAGAGAGGAGGTGGACACTCTGATGCAGTGGTGTGAGGAAAACCCACCTCTCACTCAACATCAGCAAAACCAAGGAGCTGGTGGTGGATTTCAGGAGAGGGAAGAGAGAACACACCCCATCACCATCAACAGGACACCAGTGGAGAGAGTCAGCACTTTCAAGTTTCTTGGAGTACACATCGCTGAGGATTTGACATAG